CTACTGAAAAAAAGTAGCGCACCAGGTTTCACGGGCTAGTATTAAGTCGCTTCCTCACTGGAAATGGGGTGGCCTCAAGGAGTGGCATGAGATAGAATGGTGATCTAGTATGTGGTGCATTATGTACATGTATGGACAAATAACTGGCAAAAGTACAACAGTTTACGTGCATGTTCCTTACAATAAACTAATATCCTAAATTACTCACAATGCAAAGGCTGCATATCATTCCAACAGATTGAGCGTGAAGCTACATGTATCATGGAGAGGGAAGTAGCCTCAGATCCAGCCGGACCCTGGACAGCACGTAAAAGTCTGGACTTTAGCCGTCGCATTTCCGTTGCATCTCTGTCACTCTGCGCCTCAGGGCGCCTCTGCACACAACTTGCCCATAACAGACTGTGCCAAACAGGCTGGCCCAACTTCGTCCAGACTGATGAGCAGTTGCTGAGTGGTTGAGCTGGTGGACATCAGGTTCCTGTCCAATGCCATGGCTCGGGACGAGGAGCCATCTGCTGTATGCCGTCTGTTAGAGCCGGCTTGCGACAGCCTTAGATAACCATAAGCAGGGCACTCCCTTTCCCCCAATGCAAGTGTAACTCCATGCAGGGACATGTACCCTCAGTTAGTCCTGCCTGGATAAGATACCGCTATAACATACACAATCTCTTTAAACTGCAGTGTGCCTACACCGTAATACTGGCACTGTTACAGAGAGACTGGCACAAACGAACTCACTGTCCTCCTTTGCGCTGACGTGGAGAATGTTCGGATGGTGCACTCACATCGGAAGCATGCTGGGCAAGAGGTTGGGTAGGTGGGAGGGAGAACTCTTCCCTCTCCACCTCCCCCGCCCCCAAAAAACTGGCGAAATGCAGCTGATGGGACTGGAACTCCTTCAAACCTCACGCATCCAGACAATGTGCACTCGAATGTGCAAAACTTCAGAACGAGCCACATGCACATGAACAGGCCTTGTTGTTGTGTGGACGTCTTTGTGTGATCTGCTGTTTCACTGGTAATCGTGCTCAATGCAAAAAGCAATGCCCAAGTTGGTATCCACTTTCCGCACTCTCCTGTCATCCCCCGGCCCTCCCCCCCCCAAAAAAGCCCTGAAGATTAGACTCCATACAACCAAGATAACTTCTCTAAATCCAGTGTTTCACACTGTATTGCAGCGTCAAACACCAACACACAGGATTTGTTCCATGTCTGGCCTAATTTCCACGACGCCAGCGCACAATGTATAAACCCGTACCTGCCTGCTGATGTGGCAACATAGGTCACGTGACCCATCCACATTTTCCCCAGGGAATCATTGAACATTCTCACATGTGCTCGCAGTGAGAAGAAAGTACCGAAATGCATAGGAGTAAAGTTTGTTGAACTCTCGTGTCTGTGACCTCCACCCACATTATTAACCTTGTACAGAAACATCGTCTGCTGAATGTGCGCATGTAGCAAAGGCCTGAAGAAAACTCACACTACCCACTTGGGTATCACATGAGGGCGCTAGATGAACAAGCACAGCCACAAAGTACATTGTAATGCCAGATTTCTGGAGCCGCCATGCTGGCTTTGTGCTAAACTGCCAAACACATACAGTCAGGATCATATAGGCCTCACCCAAAGCTGCCAACTTTGGAAAAGAACAATCAGGGAGATGTCTTGGGGAAGGGGGATGCATGTGCGAGCGCGAAGCACGAAGCCCTTACGGCGTGGGGTCCAGGAACCGCTTAACGGCCCCGTAAAATTTTGCAATCTGGATGGCTCTGTGGTGCAGTCTAAGGCATGGGGGCAGTGGCTATCAAGATAATAAGTAAAATACTACATGTAGTGGTTCTTCATTGGAATCTTTTTCATCTATGGTCAAATTCTTTTCTGGTCCAACAACGTGTGAAGCCTCAGCAAAATTTCAGTGCGGAAGCTGTCAGGTGTATTTTTATAATTATACCGACCTATATAACATATAATATAAAGTTTCAGTTCATTACTCCTAAGCAGGTAAGAAACTTACTTGTACATGTATATGTGAAATATGCATGTACCTTTTATATACTGCTTATTGCTGCCTGCTAGTTGAAGGCTGGGGACTGGTGGATGTGGATGGTTGCTCTGTGGACGGTTGCTCTGTGGATGGTTGCTCTGTGGATGCTTGCTCTGTGGATGCTTGCTCTGTGGATGCTTGCTCTGTGGATGCTTGCCCTGTGGATGCTTGCTCTGTGGATGCTTGCTCTGTGGATGCTTGCCCTGTGGATGCTTGCCCTGTGGATGCTTGCCCTGTGGATGCTTGCTCTGTGGATGCTTGCTCTGTGGATGCTTGCTCTGTGGATTTGCTTGGCATGTCTGGAAGTTCATGTAGTGAGTAGTACATGGACTGTTCGACCTTCTTTAGCAGTTCTTTTGAATATTCTCTTTCTTGACAGGGTACACCAGGGTTTGCTATTTCTCAATAAGTAGTGACTGCAGCACTTTGACACGCATGGAACCGCTAAAGTCAGTCTTATTTTTTCTGACGATGCTGAACACTCTTTCACAAGAGGAATTTGAATGTGGTATGACAAGTACAGCTTTCATAACTGAACTCAGCAAGGAGTGCTTTTTGCATCCATTTGCATCTTGAATTCTGGAGATGATATCCCACTTTTTGTCCACTCTTGTGGATTTATCAAGCACAGCTGGTGTGTTGCTGAAACTATCGACTTGGTAAGTTGCAAACTCCACTTCTAGCTTATCAACTACATCAGCACTTCTGTCACGCAGGATGCTTTGAAACCTGTTAACAAAACATTCCACAGAAGCAAAAGACCTGGAGCTCCTCAGAGCAATATCAACTACTTCGGCTTCCTGAAGCAGTTTGTCATTCAGTGGGCATGTCTTCAAAATATAATCACATGCTGACTTGTAATAGCATCGTACTGATCTGAAGAAATGGCTCACCTCCTGCTCAGTGAGGCATGCAGACTTGGTTTCAGAGTCAGTCATGTTCTTGATGCACTCACGAGCATCTTTGCCAAACAGAAGATCTGCCTCACACTTCCAATTCTCTTCCTTTCCATATTCCTCTGACTTCAGATCTGATGAGAACTTCGTAACCACTGATGGCTTTACGAATCTGAGAAGCAACTCCTGTACGACCCTATTTAACTCTCTATGAAGGATATGGATGCACGGCTCCTCTCTCTGTAGAAGCAGGTTAATTTGATGAAAATGTGGTTGTTGTACCTCAGAAAAAAGGAGTACAACTTTGTCTGAGGTGAGCTAAATCAGCGATGAATTCTTGTTAAGCGTGACTCCTGCAATTGGGCTGAAGAATGTCCAGAGCTACATGTAGATTTTGGGCCAGAACATGTCAGCTTTGGTGGGCAATGATCCTTCGGGGCTTGTGTTGATTTCCTTTTCAATGTAGTTTTTTTTCACCTTATTTGTAGATAGAGCCCTCTGTTGTGTTGTTTTGGGTGTGCTGTTAATTGCAGATGACAGTGTTTTGATTACAGGCCCATCAGTTGGTGACACTTGTTTCTGTGTTTTGTTGGCACGTGTACTGGGTGAGCGTTGTGTTGTTAGAGCTGAGGCAGGACTTGACAATTGATGAGTTGAAGAACTTTTGTTTTTGCATTGCTTTCACTGATACTCAAATTTCCATGTTAGTTTTTATCTCTTCCTTGGAGAATGATTCGAGTGGCTTCCACTGTTCTAGAAGTCGATCAATACAAACCCCCATGGAGAGCCATTTTCTTCGGAAGATATCGCTGCGACCTCCTTTCCTCACGGAAATATCACAGCTACATACAACACAGAATGCAAAATATTCCCCCTTCTTCAATTTCCGTATGCACAGCCATTCTTTGCTGTATTCTTCTCTGTACTTCTGCAGATATTTCTTAGCCTTCGTTGAGTCTTTCGATGCCATTTTTACCACACGATGAGTCGAGTCTACCGCGTCAGCGATCAACCTTGTTCCCATAGGTGCAATCCGCGCCATGTTGGTTCGCACCATGCTTGGCTAATGAAGGGATGCGTAAGAAGCCTACGGGGTCGAGGTTGCTGCAGCATGTGCACCTGACACCAGCTACATTTATGTGTGTGTGTGTGACAACCGTCTGGAATCCATCTGCCAAATACGATGTGTACAGCAAGGGTAGCAACAATTCGCTGGTGACAGACTGCTCACTCGTCAACGTTTGGGAAAATACAAAAGTGCATATGCTTACAGGTTACCAGTTGTGTAGACTTGAATCCAGGCCCAATGTACAAGTGAGATTCATCGACATTCGAAATTAATGTACATTCGAATGGCACTCTCCCACACTGAGAAGTGCGTGGCACCGGTAAACACTCTTTTACGGAGTCTAGTTCTCGACAAGGGAAATGACAGCGAGTGTGTACATGTACATACAGTTTATGCACGTAACACACAATTTTCAGTTGAAAAAAGAGGACACACATTCACAACCAATTATTTTCATGCCAAGTTTTATTACAACTCCGACTGTGGCAATTCAAAAAGACAGGTAAATATAAATTTGCATACACAAATTGACAATCTGGGAGATTTTTAACATGTGCCGGGAGGCAGAAGAAAGACCACTTTCCGGGAGTCTTCCGCAAAATATCAGAGAGTTGGCAGCTCTGCTCACCCACCCCAACAACCAAAAGAGATCCATCGGGGCAATTCAAGGAAGAGAAAGCTCTCTTCTCAGCTCATAAGGTATGTATGCCACAGGGTATGTGGAAATGGATGCACTCCAATGCATAACCCAGCCTTGTCAGAGATGAAATGTTGGTATTACACAATGGGCACGTACCTGTGCTTTCCCTTTGTTTAGTATGCGTGTCATGAATACACGGGTACATATACTCTCCCCAGTCAGACACAGCAAGCTGTTTTTAAGTGTGCATCAGGGGCGTATCACGGGAAATGGGTACCAACATGCAGTGGGTTAACAAACACAAACAGGTTGCCGCACTATGGGGGACACATGACCGGCTGTGGGTCAAACATTTAAAAATACATGAATTCTCGCATGTGCCTAAATGGAACCAGGAAGGACTTGAACTTTTTTAGTGATGTGGTGGGATATGCAAACACTCAAGTGCTAAGGGCGGGCGAGACTGATTTCTTATTATTCCAACTTGTACTTGTATACAGTATTTTCACTGTTACTAGGACATCTTCGACTGAACACTGCATAAAGCTGGAATTCAAAGTACTGCTCATCTTCAGAAATCTAGTGTCTTAATTGAAAGTGAATGGACTTTCGGGAACAGCAACACACTGGATGTACACGTGATTGCGAAACAGGATGTACAAATCCTATTAATGAATAACTTGGAATAATCTCTAACCTAATCTGTTCTACATGTACATTGAAAAACCACTACCAAGGCACACCATATTTTCACACAGATGATACAGGCGGGCTATTTACCGCCGACTGAGAGGGTACCATGGCTTGCCAAAATGTACGTCAAGTCTAAGAATATGCGCGAGTGAAGTGACGGCATCTCCTCAGTCTGTGCCACGTGCTCAGCTGCAGCAAGAGGGGAACCCACAGGGAAACGCACAGATACATGTAGGTGCAGTATTCAAGGTGCTCTGCTGGCTGAAGCCGCAACTACAGATGCTGCTGGCTACATGTATGCGGCTACAGCCGCTTCCGACATGTGCACTTGTCACTCCAAGTGGCAGCCTTATGAATCCGGTCTCACGGCCTTACCAGCAAAAACAAACTCAAGCAAAAGCTCTCATGGTGGTGCTACTTGGTCTGTTGGCCAGACGGCACATGGTATCTGTGGATAGGCCCTCATCACATTTAAGTGACAAAAATTTTTGTCCCCACAACTCGGTCCCGACTTTCCCAACACAAGAAATTGTCCATTTAATGTTTGGGTCCCAACGATGTGTATGTTTGAACACAAGCTTACATGTAGTCCCCACAACTTGGTAACAAGTATGGGTGCGTGTGTCATGTCCGTGTATGATACCATGGATGGACCCGAGAACGGTAAGATTCTAAGATGTTCTGTTGACTTGTACAGGCCTGCACAATTCTGTGCCGCCTCTCTGACAGAGAATTTCAGAGGCATTTTGGCATGGGAGGGGGGCAATTGCCACAAAAGGAAGAGCAGTGGAAATTTGGTAAAGGAAATCATTACCAAACATCAAGCCTGAAAGAATGTTCACAAAGGAAGGAATATGACTATGTTTCCCAGTTTTTCTTAACTCATAGAAAACTAAGGAGTGTTTACTCATGCCCAAACGTAAAAACAAGAATCGATATTGATGATTTTTTCCCCAGTAATTTTGTTTCGGTTTCGTTCACTGCTTGGTGTATCTCTCAGTTTGGCATTCCGGACTGTACATGTACATACCCTGCAAGACTCCTTTCCAAGGTATTCTACTCAGGCGACTTGGGACTCATTTAGTTAGGGCAAACGAGGAAATGTCTAAGTAGTCGAAGTGC